ACAACAATGAATGAGAACATGTCTGTTAAAACAGTACAGCAATTCGAAAGAGGGAGGAAGGGAGGAGGAGAGAGAGAGAGAGCGAAAGAGAAAAAAAAGTATAACTATATATATATATAAATATGTTTATATTGATTTAGCCAATTCAGGAAAAATGAGAATGTATGTTTGTATATTTAAATTAAAAATCTTTCTCACAATTCTTATACCTGAATTGAGCTATTCATTTTTCTATTCTTTTCCAATATTTCTCTCGTTCAGATTTATCAATGTATTTCTATTCAGTCTTGTCTGTCCTTTACTGTGATTTGTTTATTTCATTCACTTTTTTTTTCTTGTACATTTATACTGTATATGTATGTCCGTCATAAATGTAATGTCCTTTTTTTCCCTATCTCTTTCTTTCTTTCATTTTTTATACTCGATTAATGTTGCGTGTATTTCTCTCTACTTTTTTTTTCTTTTCTATTACTTGACGATTTCGAACAACAACAAAAAAAAACTACTTCAATATATTTGACATTTATCGTTTTTTTTTTCTTCTCTAGATGGTAAGATGAACGATATGCAAATAGAATATGTTAAACCAACGAAAAATATATCCGTTGGAATATATGGATGGAGAAAACGTTGTTTATACGGCCTTATAATTGTTTTAACATTCGTTGTTTTTATTAATATATGTTTAACATTTTGGTTATCAGTTGCATTGGGCCTCCATTGGGTTTGTTTGATTTGATTTATATGTTTTGTTAAATATGAATAAATCTTATAGGGAAGTATTGGACCAATTTCAATATTTAAAAATCATGTTATATTTCGATCACCAGTGGTACTTAAAGATGGTCTCATTGCAAGTAAAATTTTTAGCGGTGATCAGGTTAGAAATGAATATATAAAAAAATATAAATTTTCTATATAAAATTTTTTTTTGTTATCTTAATAGTCATTCAGTATTCAATCAGATAAAAGTGTTCATATTCAAAGTGGATCAAAAACTAAACATTCAGCATTAACTATTGGTAAGAAATTTAACTTTTGTTTTTCTTCTAATCGATCAATTAATTAAGATAAACAAGGAATTCATGCTAATTGTGAACAATTTCAAATAAATGATCGAACTGGTTCAAAACTCGTTGCTATTGATTCATCACAAATTCAAGTTTATACTGATGATTTATCAATTGTTTCTGGTACAATTATTGAATTAATAAATTTATATATATATACATTCTTATTCTTTTAGAGCAAAAACGTTTAGAACTTCCACATTTAATGACAAATTCTATTAGTTCAGATAAAAATTTAAGGTAAATAAAAAAAGAATATTAATAGAAATTTTTTTACAATTTATGCTTCTATTTTTAGTCTATCAGCAACTGATGGTCGATTAATGTTAACATCTAATAGTGATATTGATATATCAGCTCGGCAAACATTAGATTTAGTTGCTAATGATATTATAATAAAATCTCATACGGTAAATAAGAAAATAAATCTAAATTATGATTTAAATATTTCTTTTCTTTTAGATTCGTCTTCAAAATGAACATATTTATTTTGAAAAATTACGTTTTTTTGATCGTGCGAAAGGACCAGTTGTAGGTCGTAGTTCTCAATCATATTCTGTATGTATTTGTGAAAATGGTCTTGTTTTCGCTGCGATTGATTGTCGTCAACATACATTTGATTGTCGTGAGTGATGGGTTAGAAATCTCTGATATTTGTAATTTTCTTCGTCATTTTCAATGCATTTATTCAGTTTTCTTTTTTTTTTTATTTGTTGTATTGTGGTTTTTATAGAATCTCAGGCAGTATATTGCAAAAAATCGAAAATTTAATTAATAATAAGTCATTTTTCACATGATATTTAATATATGTGTGTAATGTTTTTTTTTGGTTAGTTATTAAAAATATATGTTGTATTAATGTTTTTTTTTGTTTTTAAATTAAAAAAAATCTTCCCAAACGTCTTAGATAATAATAATAATAAAAAAACGATGGGAGAATTGATTGAAATACAAGAATTTGAAGCATCAGAAGATCGTATATGGTGTGTATCATGGAATCCAACAGGAACATTGTATGATTCGATTTCGTTTGTTATATACAATCAATAGTTTTGATTGTTTTTAGACTTGCATCATGTGGTTCAGACAAAATAATCAGACTTTGGGGACGTGAAGGTGATAATAAAAAAAAAACGTGAAAATGCTTATTGCTTCTATTGATTTTGAAAAAAAAATAGTTATGATCAACGAGAAAAATAATTGATCTGCTTTATTCAATAGATAAATTTCGTTTCGATAGTATATTATTTATTTTTTATTTTTGTATTCAGGAGAACGAAATTGGGTATGCAAAAGTTCAATTAGTGATGGCCATACACGATCTATTCGTTCTGTAGCTTGGTCACTTTGTGGTAATCGTCTTGCATCAGCAGGTTTCGATGCTAAAGTAACAATATGGGAGAGAGATGGACAAGATTTTGTTATACAAACAATATTAGAAGGTCATGAGAATGAAGTTAAAGATATTGCTTTTTCTCGGAGTGGACTTTATTTGGCAACTTGTGGACGAGATAAAAGTGTTTGGATTTGGGAATGTAAGTATCTTAAATTTTTTAAAATATTAATATACTTATTCTTTTTTCTATATAGATAATGAAGATGAGAATGATTTTGCTTGTGCTGCAGTTTTAACAACACATACACAAGATGTTAAACATCTAAAATGGCATCCACAAAAAGATGTAAGAGTTTTCTATTATTTTTATTTCTAATAAATACTGATTTATTAGACAGGTTTTAGCCTCATGTAGTTATGATGATACAATTAAAATGTTTATCGAAGATAATGATGATTGGTCGTGTGCATGTAGTTTAGGTATCTATATAGAATTTAGTTGCATTCATATTTTGAAAATAAATTCTGTTTTTTTTATAAATCCATTTAAGATTCTCATACATCAACAGTTTGGTCATGTGATTTTGATGCTACTGGAAAACGACTTGTTTCATGTAGTGATGATAAAACAGTTAAAATATGGCAAGCATACGAGAAAAATAATCGAGAAGGTAATAATGATTGTTTATAATAATTAAATATTTTTATATATTATTATTTAGGTATACGTTCATCAAATGGTATCTATCCAGTATGGAAATGTGTATGTACTATTAGTGGTTATCATACACAAACTATTTATGATGTTAAATGGTAAGTTTCTTTTTTGAGTTTTTTATATCTTTGAAAGTATTCTTATGTTGTATTAAGGTGTCCTTTGACTGGTTTGATTGCTACAGCATCTGGTGACAATGGTATAAGAATTTTTCGTGAAGAAGAATCAAAGCAAGCAGATGCTCCACCAAGTTTTTCATTAATTGCATCAAATACTACTGCTCATTTACAAGATGTTAATCGAATATCATTCCATCCAAAAGAACCTGGTTTATTAGCATCATGTTCTGATGATGGTACAATTAAACTATGGCGTATTGAAATAAAATCTTCCTGATTAATATTTTTTTTCTAGTTATTTTTATTTCTCGCTGTTTCACTAACTTTTTTTTGCGTTGTTTAAAAATAAAATGAAAAAGAAAACAAATGCGTAATCACTAAAAACGTGCCAGCATCTGTCTTGAATAACAAATGTTGAACAATGAAAAAACAGTAAAATTCCACTTTATATTAACGAATAATGAATTGTTTTTGACCTAATCATTTAATGCCATATTTGCACGCTAAAACAAGTTCAACTTCATATACATATATATTGATCAATATATATTAGACGTCTACCTGTGTCTCATAAACTTGTTCTTGTTTTGGTGGTATTGCTTTAGGCAAGTGAGTATTTAATCGATCTTTCATTTCTGTGAGGAGATCGGATGCTGTACTGCTAAATGAACTTCGAATATAGATATACAAGTTTATATTTAAAAAAAAGAAAAGTATTTCTGACGTTTACCTCGCTGGTTCTGCGTGACTTACATCAGTACGTAGACCACGTGGAGATCCAACAGCATTAAGACCTTCTCGAAGAAGTTGATTATTACGACGTTCAACTGATTGAGATAAACGTGGACGTACCGGAGATGGAAATGGAAATGGTGATGTTGTTTCATAGATATTATGTGAACTTACACCTTGTCCACTTTTTCGATATCGATAAATACTTGGTACTGATTCTCTTTTTTCACTAACAAAAATAAACTTTTTCAAATTAATATATATTTAATTAATCAATTAATTTACTCTGTAGGTTTCTTAGGTCTTCTACAGTGACTACGAAAATAATAAGCAAAAATAATAATTAATATTAATGTTAATAAAATAGCTAATCCAATAAGAAACCAATACAAATAATCAAATGGAATAAGCTGTATAAATTTGGATAATTTATTATCTAATTGTATTGTCGTTGATGAGAATAAATTTAATAGATCGGTTGTCGTTGGAAGTGAAATAATTGGTGTACTTGATGTGGATAAATATTGTATTGAATCGGTAGATGAAAAATGAGATTTACGTGATTGATGATAAAGTTCAGGCTTACCACCATAAAGATCACGATATGTAAAAAAACCGTTAGTAGCCATTATCACGTGCTATGTGTGTACTGAATGCACATACACTTCTTTCTTCTTATCGTTTCGACAGAAAAGTTTATTTTATATACATAGTGGACAGTATTTTGACAAATTGGAAAATGTTTTCTTTTCTTTATATATACTACTGTTTTATTTGATAATCGATTTTATAAGTACATTCTTTATCTGTTTTGTATTAGAGGTTACCGGTTATATAACGATCTCAATTTGTCGAAAGATTAAAATGTTTTAAAAGTTATTATCATTTAATAAATATGCGTAACTTCATAAACGATCGAGTTTAATTCAATAATTTTTTATTTCAATTATAAAAAAGAAATAAAAAAAACTTAACAATAACAATATATTTTTTAAAGAAAATCGGTTTCACAATTGTATTATTTATCCATAGAATTACTATCAGATGACATCGGTGTAAGTCGAACAATAGAATGAAGTGCATCACCTAGATTTTCCATTGTTTTTTCTATATAATTAAAATTATATAAATATATATATAAATAAAAATGAGATAATTATTTTACCGGTTCTCTTTTGAGTTTTTTTTATTTTCTTAAATTCCTGTTGTCGACTAAGATTAGATCTATTAACTGATCCTCGAATTTCATTTTCATATTGTTTATCAACCGAATTAGCAATTTGTTGTTTTGATAAACGTTTTGTTTTGTCTATTGCTCGAACTGTAAAATGAATCTATAAAAAATTCCCATATTTTCAAAAATAAAATTTACAAATTAAATACTTCATTTGAATCTTTCGTTGTCAATTGATGATTTTCATCTATTGTTTCTATAGTACTATTTTCACTTTCAGAAATATTCTCATCTTCATTGATTTCAAAATCCATTTCTGTAAGAGAATTAGTTTGTAAATCGTCCAATTGCTCATCTTCATTATTTAAAAAAGCATCGATATCAAATGCTTCTTTCATTTTTGTTACAAGTTCAGTACTAATTATGTCATTAGTACGTTCAGGTGGTTCAGTAAAATAAGTTAATTTTCCATTTGTCCAATCAGAAAGTACTCGTTGTGCAGCTTGATTAATATCTGGTACACCACCTTTTTTTAAAGTACCCATTTTTGTAGCCATTTTTAATAGAAAATCATTAACATCTTGAAAATCACTTAGATTATATTGAAGCATCATCTAAAATCAACAACAACATCTTTTATTGATTTAAAATAATTATAAATAAAATTTTACTTGTTCTTTTGTACATCGATGAATAAGTAGTTCAATAGCTGGTATAGGATTTTCAATTGTTTCAATCTAAATATGATAACAATAAAAAAATATTCTTTTCTTTCTATTAGTGAACTTACTCGAATACAATTTCGAAGAACAAGATTAGCAGGATTTGTTTCTTTTGACATAACAATACCTGGACAATCGAATAATTTAATTAATTTATCTAATTTAATTGTCTGCATTTGTCTAGACAAATAAACTAGAAATCAGATCACTTATTCGAATAATATTTATTACTTTGTTACACCGGGCGTTGAACCTGTTTCACATGCTTGACTGCGTTTAAGACTATTAATAACACTACTCTTTCCAACATTAGGATATCCTTAAAAATAGAATATTTTCTTTTATTTATTCAATTGAAAATGCTTACCAACAATGCCAACAGTAATACTAGTTTTAATATCATTTTTTCGACAATAATTCGAAAGAAGATTCATTAATGTTGATGCACCAAAACATTTATTTGATGATTTAATTAATTGTTCATCACAAGTTTTTATTGATTCTTTAATATGACCCTAAATAAACGATATAATTAATATTTATTAAAATAACATAAAAATATTTATATACCAATCGATGACGTTGATTCTGAGTTGATGAACGAAAAGCAATTGTTGGAAATTCATTACGAAAATATTTTAACCATCTATCAAGATTATCACGTGGAATAAGATCTAATAAAATTATAGAAAACAATAAAGTTTAGAATTAGACAAAAAATAAACAGGTATACCAATTTTATTAAGTAATAAAATAAGTTTTTTATTTTTTCCTGAAGTTAAAACAGCTTCTTCAACTTGTGGACAACGACATCCAAGAGGATCACGAGCATCAAGTACTTCAATAATTATATCAGATGCATCCACTACCTTGATAAAAAGAAATTTAAAATACGATATGTTTATTATGAATTTATACTTTTTTAAATTCTCGATAGAATGTCTTTCGTGATTTTTCATGGCCATCGATAATATCTGATGAGAAATCATTTTGTTCATCCTAAATTTAATAAATAATAAAATAAAATTTTATATATGAGATATTTACTGTTAAATTTTGTTCATGTTCAAATTCATTTTGTCGTCGTTCTATATCTAGCATCAATGATTCTAAAGATTTCGGTCGATCTTGTTCAGACTAAATGAAATAAATGAAATAAATTTGAATTCATCATATTAAAATAAATACTTGTTTCTTTGTTTCATCAGTTTGTTGTGATAATTCATGTTTCGATGGGTTTAATTTTGAAGTTTTTACGCTCGTAAATTTCTTTTCTAAATATTCATAATATGAAAATCAAGTTTTAAATCTATTAAGTATTTACTTTTATTATCTGCAAATTTCTTAAATTCTTTACTCATTTTTGTATTATAAACAAACAATTTCTTTGAATGATATAATCTAAAAAATAGTAAGAATTATCTTGTGAGTAACTCGTATTCAAGTAAGCAAAAAAGAAGTTTCCGTTAAAATCATATCCGAAAAATTCTAGTAATGCAAAACCAGTTATATTGATAAACTATTATATGAGTGTAATTCCTCGTGATGCCTTTCATTTCAAATTCAATATTTAAGATTTAATTATGATACGATGAAAATAGTTAATATGTTTATTTTACTTAAAGTATAACGGTTTAGATTTTCTAATCGATTTATTATCGCTTGTAGATTATTTGAAAAACAAAAGAATATGCCAAACACATATATTTATTCTCTTCAAACATAACAAGAAAAAAAAAATATAAATCGGAGAGTCACTGTTATATTTATTTCGTTTCAAGAGTTTTCATAATTTTCTGTTTTCATGTCATTGATTCCTAATTCTTCATTTTGTTCATCTGTACGTTGATAATGTTCAACAGTTAATTGTGGATCAGGATCAGGTGCACATATATTTTGCAAATAACAATTACCGGCTGGATCATCTAAAACAATTGTAACGTATCTTTCCCCAGCAAGTACAGCAGACATTATATCAATAAATGAACACATTTGATTTTTATCTCCTCTATTCGTACTATCACCACCACCAAATGGCATAATAACACTAGCCAATTGAGTTTTTAATGTTGTAAATATACCTTCAACTGTTGTAAATTTTCCACCAATAGATCTTGATGATGATAATTCAAAATCAAGTTCAGGTATAGCAAATGATGATGTTTCAGAAACTAATATATCTCGATTTAAATCAATTGGATCTTTGATAGCTAAAGTATATCGAATACCTTGAGATGCGATACCAGTACCTGATTTAACTTCATTCGATTTCTTTCCACAATAATCGCATGATGTTGCCATAATAATAATTTCTTTAAAATATGGTATTTTTGTTACTTTCATATTTGTATCACATGGTGCATTACAACTGGAACAATTTGTTTGAAAAACTAATACTTCATCTTTTAATGCTTCAATCTCTTCTGAAGTAAGATGATTTTGTGCATCTGCAGCTGCTTCTTCCTCTTCTGTAATACCTAAAGATGCATTCTGATCTGGTGTTCGTCGATATTCTTTTTTAGTTAATTGTTCATCACGATATGGTGCTTTTGGATTTTCAATAAAACTATTACCACTTGGATCATCGATTTCAAAATGAAATGGTTCAGTTAAATTTTTTAATGATTCAACACGAGCAACAAATTCAGTAAATTTTGTTTTCTGTTGTTCAAATTCAGATTTATCAATCTTACTGTCATCAGTTGAATTTTTATCGGTATCAACAAGTGTTTCTTCAATTTGTTTAATTGTTTTTTGAATATTTTCAATTACTGAACTAAGAAATCCTTGAAAAAAAATATAATCATTATTTTATTAATGATTTGTTTGTTTTTTTTTACAAACCTTCAATTGTTGTTAAAACACCGTTTTCACCTTGAGGTGATTGTTCAAAATCTAATTCTTTTATACGAACTATTCCATAACATGATTTAACAAATTGTCGATTAAGATCAGCACTATTTAAAACGTGAACATTAATTAATACTCCAAGAGGTTCAACACGTTGAGCTGGTTGAATATCATTATTTTTAAAATGACATGTATCACATTCAAATGAACTAAGTATAACATCTTTATAATAAGGTATACGTGTTAATAAAAGACGAGTTTGTCCTCTACCATGACAATTCATACAAAGTGAGTCCATTTCAGTCAATTGATTTTCAGCATCATCAGCTGATAATGAAGCAAAAACTGGGTGTGATTCGGTTGTAGCCATTTTATCAATCTAGAATAATTTCGAACGATACATATTTATACAGTCATTTTTCATGATGCAATATTTCAACACAAAATATACTCTTACAAAATTATAAAAAAGGGGAAATTTATAACTTTCAATATAGTGACTCAAAATTAATTCAGTGTGGTTTCAACCCAACTGTATTAATAATGAAATATCCTATGTATTACAAATAAATAGATTCGTCAAGATAAACCAATCATGTTCATTGGTTAATATATGTAAAAAGCGCCATCTGAGACTAGCTTATATCCTCAACAAAAAAGTATATCATTTCATTTTCATGAGTTACACTTTTATAAAAACTTACAGCGAATGTCAGTCTAGGTTATTGCAAAGACTCTTAATAAAGAAAAAAATATCATACATTTAAAAACATTTAGCATTATAATGTGAACTTTAACGTTTCTATATATATATTCAGTGACGTCGCGAGGAGAGAGGGGCAAATAAGCAATTGCCCATTCCATCTGGAGATTTGCCTATTGCAATTCAACTTTTTCAAAATTGTTTATTTATTTTTGAATCAATTTATGACTATATTTTTTTCTTCGGTTTGAAGTACACTCACACTGTCTGTTTGGTTTTTCCGCGAAAAATTAAAAAAGAAGAAAAGAATCGCTTCGTGTATTTTAACTATAAATTTGAGTGAACATGAGTTTGATTTTATCGGGAATCTGGTCACTTAAAGGTAGAGAAAATCTTCAGCTTCTGTCGAGAGAAGTTTCGGCGAATTATTGAGAATTAAAATTTATTGTTTACCTACAGTGAAACAAAACACACTAAATAGACTTGCTGCTGCATACATTCACAAAGATCTCGATATAAATCCAGATGAAATATTGAAATTATATACAAATAAATTCGCATCGTCTTGATTTTAGTGTTTAAATTTGAGACATGAATATTATGAATAAAGACACTAGAATAGACTAAAAATATATCTAACTCAAGCTTACGATCTGAGTTTAATGCATGTCTGATTAGAAGAATTTTATTTCATTTTTTTGTTTTTTCTACGTTATCAGTACTTTGATGCGCTAGAAAATTTTCGCCTACCATTAAAAATCCTGGCTATGCAACTGTATATACTCAAGAATATTCAGTTGATAATCACAATTAAGTAGTATCAAGAACAGTATAATATGAAATAAAACAAGAAGTGAAACGAGTTAATTACGGCACAATTTATTTCCTGAATAACTGTTGAACAATATAATTATAAATAATAACATAATAGGAAAAATACAATTTCATTTACATTTTTTAATGTATATTCACTGACAGTTTATACATTTGTTTTACTCAATTATAAACTGTTAAATTACGTATTTGTTAAATAAATATGAAATTTATCAAGAATTGTATCTTAGTTAGCATAAAAGAAATAACAGATATTATCAGTGTGAAAATGTTGTTTTATTTCTATATATAGAATTATGCATCTACCTGTAAGATAAGAAAATATATGTCGTTTCGTTTTGTGTCCCTTCGAATAATATTAGTCTTACTAAATAAATAACAAATAAAAATATAAATTATACATATTACAAAGTTAAAATTTATAGTAATCGTATACCTAAGCTTTAAATGAAAGGATCAATTGATAATTTATTATAAAAATCATAAACATGACCCTAATTGTTCTAAACTTTCAAATATTGTTGTAATTGTTCTTTTTACGCTGTGATGCTACATATGTTGAATAGTGTTATCAAATCATCATGTCTCATTGTTCTATTTAAAAAAATTATGTTGCATCTTCCTAGGTTGACTGGCAAAAAGTATATAGTTAATAAATAATCTTAGATACAGTTTTTATACAATTCATGCTGAAAAAATTTTTAAATAAAATACACCTCGAAATCTTTTCTTTTATTATTAAAGTAATTTTCAAATAGAATTTTTTTACTTAGAATCATAATATTAATTAGTCTGTTTTTGTGTATGTCTATTTAGCATATATTAACTGATTTGTTTTAGTTTTGTTTTACATATTCATATAACATTATTTATTCATTGCATGACATTTGCAAAACTGCACTACGGACGCCACCTGGTTCCTCTACCATCGCTTATCTATATCACGCTTAAATAAAAAAGAATATTCGAAAGATAACTAAGATTCTTTTTCTTCTTCTATCATGCTACGTAAGTTAAATCATTATGCACTTCTCGAATGATATGGCAGATTCTAACGTTATCTTTGCAAGGTAAGATGACTACGCGAAACTTATAACATATATATAAATGCACATAAATTTTTCATTTTCATTAAGTAGTATCTCGTCGACAAGCAAGAACACCACTTTCGAATTCAACAACAATAATGAAAGCTTTTATCGCTCTCTGCGTCCTCTTCGTAGGCGCTTATTGTGCACCAATGCTCGATGAAAAACTCGGTCAACAATGGGCTTTATTCAAACGTGTCCATGAAAAACAATACAATTCAATTGAAGAAGAAACAGCTCGGTATGTTATACAACATTATATTGGTTTTTTTTGGAAACTAGATTTATTATTTTTTCTTTAATAGTCGCACCATCTTCGAAGCTAACCTTGCTAAAATCCAAAAACACAACGTTGAAGCTGACTTAGGTATTCATACCTATACCTTAGGAATGAACAAATTCGGTGATATGGTAAGTTATTTTTTTCTTAGATTACTGTAAGCAGCAAAATACATTACACATATACATCTTTATGTAGACCAATGCTGAATTCCGTCAACAAATGAACGGATTCAAAGTCTCAGCTAAAGATGAATCATTCGATCGTCATACATTCTTAGCTGCATCAAATGTTGCTATTCCAGATGCTGTTGGTATGTATTTCTCATATCAAGTTCATTTTTAAAATATATTAATTATATTTTTGAAATATTTGTATAGATTGGCGTAAAGAAGGTTATGTTACACCAATCAAAGATCAAGGACAATGCGGATCATGTTGGGCTTTCTCAGCTACTGGTTCACTCGAAGGTCAACACTTCGCCAAAACCAAACAACTCGTCTCACTCTCTGAACAAAACTTAGTTGATTGTTCAGGCAAATTCGGAAACATGGGTTGTGATGGTGGTTTAATGGACTCAGCTTTTCAATATATCAAAGCCAACAATGGTATTGATACCGAAAAAAGCTACCCATATGAAGCTCAAGATGGTAAATGCCGATTCAAAAAAGAAAATGTTGGTGCCACTGACACTGTATGTATTATCTTCATATATAAAAATTTAAAAACTTATACTATGATTATCTTAAATGTAGGGTTTCGTTGATATCAAAGCTCAAAATGAAACTGATCTTCAAAACGCTATTGCTACAATTGGCCCAATTTCAGTTGCTATTGATGCATCACAAGATTCATTTCAATTCTACAAATCAGGTATCTACAACGAACCAGATTGTTCATCAACCGAACTCGATCATGGTGTCTTAGCTGTTGGTTATGACAAATCAGGATCAGGAGAATACTACATCGTCAAAAACTCATGGGGAACATCATGGGGTAACCAAGGATACATCTGGATGACCCGAAACAAGAAAAATCAATGCGGTATTGCCACCATGGCCAGCTACCCACTTGTTTAAGTCGACAATTATCAATAGAGATAAAAACGAACTGTATAGTTTCTAATATTTAATCATACATATTTTTCCATCTAGTTGATTCAAAATATATCTTAATAATAAATCAAACACTAATTTACAGTAAAAATAAATTATTCAAAAAAAAACATCTTGTATATATATCATAGATATCAATGAATATTTAAAGAAACTTGATAAAAAGAACCTATATTTGAATGATTAGATTATCTTCTATGTCGATGTGAAGAGTACTAAAATCATGATCATTGAGAATAGAAATCTGATGTTATTCATGATGTCAGGTAGAATCATTTCATCATGAAACTGCATTGAAAAGAAAAAGATAGCTGTTGATGTTGGTGACTTTCATTTTAACTAAAATGAATACAATACAATGCTATTACTCTATAGTATATAGTTTTATTTAAAAGTGAAATTTACTTCATACATGACATCTTTCGTTGTTTAATGTTTTTTATTTCTATTGTTCGTATACAGATGCTGATAGAAATGTTTAAATGACAACATTAATTCGATAGTTGCATGCTATGAAGGTCAAATTGGAGTAGATAAATGAGAGATATTTTAAAAGATATTTATATATGTATGATTTATTAGATTGATGATGACATTTAAATCAAAGAATCAAATAAGAACAAAAATAGACAAACAAATAAGAAAAATATGATTTAGACTCTCTGAACAAATGAACATATTAGACAAGCATAACCAAAAAAAGAAAAAATAAAGTTGAGAAGTAATACAAATTCTATTCATAATTGACAATAATATATATACAAGTAAGAAATGATATTAATTTTGAACTGTTAGTGGTGCTGACTAAAAAAACCATAGAAAATAAACTGAATTAAAAAAAATCTTAAAATATTTGTTTGTTCATACCGACAAAGTGCCTAAACGATGTCGATGTCGTATAAGAAATGGATTTTCTAGATAAATATTAGTATTACTTTGTGGCTTGAGTCCAATAACATCCTAAATGTAATGATATATTATTGAAGAAAACACAAATATTAGTAACATACTTTATCAGTACAATATCGTACACCAATCATTATTTGACCAAAAATATGACCATGTTTTTTCAGAGCACGTTGAGCTTGAAGACGAGTTTCAAATTTAACATGGAATATATTCGATTCATCGACAGTCTATATATATATATATATGATAATTAAAGATAGAAAAAATAAAAGAACTATTCATACCACAAATTTTTCTATAACACCAAATTGACTAAATTCATCTATCAAAGTTCGAGCATCAGCACTCGTACGAAAACCAAATACTGTCAACCAAGTTCCATCATTTCCACTCTCATTAGCATGACTAAATATCAAAAATCCAAATCAATAATCGAATGATAATGGGAAAACAAAGTTTATACTTTGTTCGTTGAGTTGTTTGAATAAAAGTAAAATTATTATTTGAACTATCAGCACTATCCATTGGTTGATCAATACCAGTTTGTGTCATTACTCCAAAATCATAAGAATTACTAGTATTATTGAAGAGAAAGTTCGATGTTATTCGCCGAGTATTTTCCATTTCATCAAATGCACTGATATTACCAGCACGTGTTCCTATTCCTCCTTGTCGAAATAAAATCGATGATTGATGATCATCAACTATAATAGAAAACGAAACAATATAATTTTTTTTTATTGAAATACCTTTCGAAAAAGAAATATATACTTGATTGATCATTATTACTATCAACAAGAAAACGAACACGTTTTTGTTGTCCTGGTGATAGAGGACTTGGTGGTGATTTTCTATCAGATAAAAATAATAATAATGATTCATTTTGTACTCTTTTGATTATGACAAAATAAATATCTTACGGTTCATCAAATGTACGTTTGCTCATCAACGAGACAAATGGTGAAGACTAAAAATATAACAATTGTGTTTTATGAAAATCAAAAGTTAAATGATATACCTTCAAACTATCACGAAAAAATGTCGACGAATGCATCTAGAAAGAATAAGGATTTCCGAATATATTTATTCAAAAAATTAATTTCATTATCACAGATCCAATTTTCATTTAGCATCATTGTTCAAGATAATATTCTTGTTTGGTACATTTATCAAATATTATCTTTACTTTCTAATCGAAAACAGCATCAGCCAGATAGTAAGTGTATGATGAGGTTATTAGATAAACCAATTATTGTTGCTGTAGAATTAAGCAACTTTAAGATATTAAATCTAGAAAAATATAAATGATTTTTAATATAATTTTATCAAGTTCTATAGTGTATAGAAATCTATTTATAAATTTGAAAAGGAACAATAAATTGATTATCTTATAGATCTTTTTTTTAATCCACATAAAAAGAATGGGTTTTTGAGTATTATCAATTTCTAATTTACTATTGATTGTTTTATTTTATATAAAAAGAATCATTCCCAAAGAATTGATTCTATTTAGAAATATGCGGATTGAAAAAACTGACTTTTAAAGAGCAATTGTAAACATCAAATTAGTATATTATTCTGTTTTATTCGTTGATGAATTGATTCATGCGATACGTAAAATTATCAATCTGATTACAAAGGAATATGAATAGAGCGTCATAATCTGTTACAGATAATTCATTTTCCAAAGCATTACGATCTTGATCTCTACAAAATATTCTTCTTTAACTAAATATTTTATAGAATCAAGTTGAATATGATTATTAACTTCTTAAGTAGAATTTGTTCTTGTTTTAATGTTTTTCTGTCATATTCTTGATCAATTTCATTATAATTCGTATTACGGCACATTTTCAACAAGGCCAATGAATCATTTTGATGTTCACTAAACAATATCAAAAAAGAATTAATTATAGAACCTTAATAATTCAGATGTTTTTACATTCATTTAGACGATTTGTATATTATTTCATTAAAATGCTTGGACGATACATTAAGTTTATAATGATGACACAAGTATGTTACAGCTCTTTTGCAATCAGTTATAGTGGATGTCATCAACGATTCTAAAAATGAGTTGACAATTAGCATATCAAAAAGACTTGCATCGTAAAAATATAGACTTGTTAAAATATTGATACTCCATTTGATTCCTTTATTTTTTAGTAACAGAAATGAATAGAAAGAAAAAGTTTCGAAAAGTCTATTGAAATTGAAAGTCTCATCTTGATCTGTGCAAGTATTTGCATCGATGAAAGCAAAGATCTTCATATATACGTTCGTTTGACAACCATAGTGTATATTAGTTATACGAAATATGGCTCTCATGAAACGTGCAAATGAACAGTCGCTATCGCTTGATTGTTGTTTTCATTTTATTTATTTTATTTGTTCTTGTCGTTACCAATAATAAAAATTCTGAGATTTACTCAAATCAATAGCTTATAAAAGTTATTTGAAAAACATTTTTGTTAAAATAATTACATAAAAGCTCTTCATCACTTATTATATTATATTATATAGTCAATTGATTTGATAATGTCGCTAGTAGTTAAATACAGAGTATCTTACAACGTTTTTATCAAATGATTTCACTTTTGATAAAATTTAATAAACGAAGTTGTGAGTTCTATAATGCAATCGTATTAATTGACAAATTTAGTCAAAAAATATTCTGGAATGAAATATATTAATTGTATTCAACATTCTATTTCAATTTTTTCTTACAGATTTATACAGGATTCTAATATCTTCGTTTTCCCCAGAGTAGTTATTAATATTTGTCATATTACAATGCTTTATAGAACAAATAAGTTTCATAAGAGATTAAAAAACCCTTATTTTTTTTATTCTAGTTCCTTATCATTTACAAATTTAATAACATTGATAAATAATTATCAATAGTAATATTTAATTACTCTTAATTGATTAGTTCCCAAGAATTTTTTCGCTGTAATCTTTTATAATTATTCATCATAAAACTTAGGAAATGTACTTACAAAAAAAAGCACATTTATATATTCATTAGACTTTACAAATAGTACATAATAAACGAAACATTATATTTATTTGTTTAATTATCACTAATTAAGTTTTTTGTTTATTCATATTCAATAAGTGTCTATTCATTCCCAATTCTAGATCATATATTTTATGTTTAATAACAACACAACGAAAAGAAAAGAAAAACAGTCGACTAGAATGAATACATTAATATACGATAAAAATAATACGGAGTTTTTTATATGAGATATATAATAAACATGGAATAAAAACAAACGAGAAAAAAAAGACTTGAGATTGCACTGTAATATTCTTTTATTGACCAATATTTAACAAATCCACATCTTTCACTGTTTGTTGTTGGTTAGACATAATATCTTGTTGATCATCATTCAAATAACCACTATCATTCTCTTCATCATCCATATCATCTCCATCATCATTTGCTATTCCACGAAGTGTTGGTAAAGTAAGATCAACTTCAATTGGAAATATATCAGCTTCTTTCATAACATCATTACAATCTTTATGATATTTATCCAGAGCAGTTATAAAACGATGCAATTGAAAAACTATATCTTGCACTAAATGAAAAAAGAATAAATTTAAAAAATAAGAAAATATCGTTCACAAGAACAAACCATGTTTTTGATCAAGCAGTTCTAATTTAACTTGTACATCAGTACGCATTCTAGCAAAACGCTCACGAGCTAATTGTCGACAGCGAAGAATCAAACTATATTAAAATATAGATTTTCTTTTTTTTTGTCCTATACTAGCAAAAATAATGAATTAAATGCATACCGATATTCATAATTGCCTGTTTCAACACGATAAAGTGGTTCTTGAAGTGCAGCATAACTGCATTCTTCATCATCCATTTCTTTCACTTTTAAACAATAAGACTAAATATATAATAAAATTTATGAATATTTCGATTCAAATGAGAAGTGTAAGGATAATAATTTTTATTATTCTCAGTAAATTTCTGCGTATAGACTTTTAGTTATCATATACAATCTTACCAAATACTCAAATTTAGCATCAGCATATTTTTCAATAGTTAATTTTGTATCAGGAATAGCCTTTGTTAAATATGTATTCAGATCCGCAATCATCTAAAATCAAATAAATAATTAAAATATAACTATATATTATGTTGATCTATACGGGTTTAACAGTTCGTAGCAATGTAATAGCATGTTTATCGATTAGTCGATGAGCTTCACCAAATTTTGTGAATGCTTCGGATGCTTTAAACTGAGGTTCACGTGCACCAATATTAGCAAATGCATCACCAAAATTACGATGTGTATGAGCTAATTCAAATATTGCTTTAAGTACAGCACGTGTATGTTCAATAAGACCACGATATAATTCTGATGTTCTTTCTAATTCATCCAATTTTTTTATTAAACCATCTAGAATAAAAATGAATAGCGTTTATAAAATACACTTTATTTTTATTTACCATTGCATAAAATAGCCCGACTGAGACCTAGAGCATCAGCTGTTGTTGAACTCATAGTTTCGACAACACGATGTTTCATTTTTTTAAGAACTATTTGTAAAAAAAACAAGAAATAGATGAAGAGTTAATAATAAATTACTTAAACAAACCAATATCTAATGTTTTGCCTTCTTTTGGTTGTGCATGTAATTTATTATAATGTATAATTACTTCCGCCTAAGAAAATTCAATAAAATCAAATTGAAGATAGATATAAATTATTTACTTTACAAGCTTGAATAAGCTTAGCTACCTCAACTTTAGTTCGTCCTTTAACTGATTTTCCATTAACTGAGATAAGTTCGTCACCTATTAAAAGAAATCATTGTAAATGTTAAATTGAATCTATTTTGATTTTTACCTGCAGCTAACGAACCATCTCGTGATGCTGCTGTATTATCAAATATTTGTACAATATATAAACAAGGACAAAGTGGAGCACCGCCACCAATACTAATTCCAACTAAATTTTGAGCATCTTTTTTCAAAGTACATGTACCAGATGTCAAAGTCATACCACTAGAAGAGAAAGTAAACTATAAACAAACAAATCAGCAAAATTTTGTTAATAACATACAGAGTATCTTCTTCTAAATCGCTGTATTCCATTATATTTTTTTAGGTCTTCTAGATTTTATCTGTTCTGTTTTAAAATGTCGATGGAATAAAACCTATATCAAGAATAAATAAATAATTATAATGATCAAATACAACTCAATATCTGCTTTTGTATTGGATAATATACTGACAAAAGATGTCACTTATTAACGTGAACAATTTTCTTATTGTAGTCAGAGTAGTATATAAAAAATAAATGATATTTAGTTTTTATTAACTTTTAGAAATATTTTTCGATACATAGGAAGACGTTTCTCTTATTTAAATTAGATATCATATATACTTCTCACTAGTGGCATCTATTAATAATCTCTCTTACTGAGGACAAGCATTAGAACATGCGTAAAGCAACATACCAATATATATATAATTTTAGTTAGCCGCAGAAGATTGAACATGGTCGTAATCTAACGAAGAATGTAGTAATGATTTAAAATATATCAATATAATGTTACAACCATTTATCACACAGATAGTTTTCTAATTTCAATTTATTTACACAGATTTCGTTTTACGATATTGCTTTCAAAACTATACTTCCGATTAAACCCTAGAAAAACGTAAGTATCTTAGGATATCATAAAAATTCTGTCTTTATATATAAAACTTTTCATATATCATAATAAGAGTCATTGCATACTATGTTTATACCAGAAGCCCTTTTTAGCTCAGAAACGTGGTAAAACTTATATGATATAAACTATCGTTATTTAATTTGATAGAATAATTTGCACTTTCTTGTTACATTGAAAAAAGTATCATATTTTTCGAAATAAACTACTTATGTCGATTGAGAAATCAATCTTTCTTTTCTACGACTTTTTCTTTACGTACTCCATAATACAATGATTTCAAACAAAACTCCTTCATCAGTGACATACCATAAAGTGTTTTTGTAAACTACGTAATGTAGTTCATAGATAAATAAGTCAAAGTTTCCTGTTAGAGATAATACTTTTTGCTTTTCATTCTAGCGTCAGTCATGAATATAATTGATCATAAATGTGATTTTAACCCGTTTTAATCAAATTGATTGCAAGACCTCTTCTCATATTTTAGTGATATTGTTTGATAACAACTATACTAACTCAACCGAAGGCTAATAGAATCCGTTTCCATCGATGTACAACTAATAATACCGAAAAGTCACCCGTAAACCATTAAATTGCATCACTTTTACGATACTATATTTATATCAAAACATAAATAATAAGGATCTGAATACAGACCAGAATAAATATACAAATGTAATGTGAAAACAATATAAGGTGATAAAAAATTTGTTACTGTATATCAACATGATTAACGATGATAGCAATGATATTCCTCAATAGGTCTTTTCGCAAGAAAAAAGGCACATAAAGCAAAATACTAGATAACGATGAAATAGTTCACTGTTTCAGAAGATCAATATTATTGGCCCATAACACACCGTTTTATAAAACAACAACGAAAAAAAGAAAACATGATTTATTAATGGGGTTATAATTGTAATACATAGTAAAAGTTTTAGGTTAAATATTAATGAAGTAGCGGAACCAAATCATTTAAGTCTAAGACACGAAGGACGACATATTAAAAGAATTGTGTTCATATTAACGATGTATTACAAGGTTAAATTTCATTTTTCGAATTTTATTCGGTGTTTGCGTAATGCTCAAATTAAAAGCTTCACACGTAGAACAATACAATGAATTTATAACTATTTGTTGAGTACATGTTCATATTGTATGAGATGATAGTAAATAACTCTTTATTTAGAAAATGTGTAATAAATATACAGATCACTGAAAGGTTATTAGTTGCTGAATACTAGTCTAAAAGAAAAAGCTATTTGAACTACGAACAATTGCCGTAGAAGGATACACCATGTCAGGCTATCTGACCATGGAACTCAACCCTTGTTGATGATTCAGAAATGACTAAATATAAAAGAATGAAGACTTCGATCAGACACAATACAAAATATTAGACAAAAGAAATTGATGAAATGTCTTGAATCAATAGTTTTTGAAGTATAGTATTTATTTTAGGTGATATATTTAAATTTATTATTTGACAAAGATTTGTAGTTATACGTATAATAGCAGTGATTCTTACATATATTTATTCTGTGCTCTTTAAATATATTTAGAATAGTTATACAGAAAAATGTAATATGATCTAAATAATATTGGGATTCTCACGCAAGTCTAATAAATAAAGATTTCTTCTCAATAAACAATAATTCGATCAATATCGGGTGTGTAGTCGTCTCGATTATAAATACGAATTGAATTAAATCCTTGACAAAGATTGAGTATAACAGGTGTAGACGAAATAGTTTGATTTGTGGACATAACTGGAAATGTAACATTAATGGAAGGAGACATATCGTTTATAACAATTTCAGCAGATCGAATACGATCAGTTATATAGTAAAAAATAACAATGGTTGAGCCACCATAATAACTTAAGATTTGTTGAAAGATAAGCTCATTAGTAAAACCAATATTGCTAACTTTCTTTTCTCCTGAACAAGCTGAACACAATTCAGTGGTTGTTGAAATAAATGTATTCAATAATGATTCAGCTTCATAATTCATTGCTGTAATTACTGATGATGCAGGATCATATGGATAAGTATTGACTATACAGGGCCTTGCTGTTGCTGTTGTTGGTGTTGGTGGTGGTGGTGCATTAGTTGATCGCGAAGAACCTATGATTATATAAAATAAACTATAAGACATAGTTTTAGTCTGATATATTACTTGATAAAAATTGATTTGTTGAAGTTTTTAAATTGTTAGTAAATAATTTTTGAACTATTAGAAGGATAATAAAAAAGAAAGACTAAATTTTCTATCACTTACATGTATCAATCGGTAATTCTAAACTGTGAAATGTTTTTGCAAAAATTGATTCTTTCATATTATTTTGACATTTTTTAGCGCATTCAAGGGCATACCGAAGCCTTAATGAGACTATCAATTGTGATGTAGAGTTTATTTCTGTATCATTGTCAGGTTGCGTTATAATAATAATTGGATTATTGTGACTGTCAAAAGTAACAGGAGAAACAAACTAATAAAGAAAAATAGTGATATACATATATATATATTGAGTATTTTTATAAATTTATTTTTACCGTTATATTTATGGATGAAGGTTGACGAGTTATAAAAGCATTCATAATCGTGAGACTTGTTTTCTTTGTTATTTTTTTATTATTAAGTTGATCTTGAAGCTAAAAACAAGAAGTTTGATATTTTTATTTATCAATCAAAAATATAGAAACCAAATTTTGAAGAATCGATAATTTGTCTGCTTCCAAATCATTTGGTTCATAAGTCCAATTCATCGATGACATTGATAGCCTATCAGGTAGATTATAAACAAGCGTGAGAATATCACTTCGAACTTAATAAAATAAAAAAAGCTATTAGAGAATATTCTATCATTTTCGATAAATTATACCCTGATATTTTGTTTGATCTCCTTTAGCTGTTGTAAATATTGGAAGAAATGTAAAAACAATTAATGCTGCAATAACTGTTACAATACATAATATACTGCAAATAGTCAAGAAAAACATTGGACTTAATCGACGTAACCTATAAAAAAAGATGAATTACTTCCTTAGTGATGTATTGAGTGAAAATTACTTACATTCCACGATTCGATGGCGTTCCACCAGCTGTATATTGAGTTGAATCTTCCGTCTTTGAAGGCATTGTTTATTTTGTTAATATAATAGTTTAGCAAAAACAAAACGCTCAAAATGAGACGTACAACGTACTACTTTGAAAGATGTCTATGTGCAATAAAATCTTTAAAAAAGAATAGTACTACATTCCTAAATATATGCTTTCTATCATTTTGATTACGCATATCTCCAATTTCGCTATAAATTTATATAACACGCCATATATTCATATTAAAAGAAATTTAAGCTCATCATTCTTTTTTTTCATGCAAAATTACTTATTCCAACGCACTCTTTTTTTTATTGTATTATTAAAAATGGAATTTATTTTATTTATTTCTAGTGTTTCATTTCCTGTCACAATGAACATGTAAGAGAATATAATATGATAAAACAAACAAGCGAACTAATAGAAATTTTATCATTTTTAGTTTTTACTGAAAAAATTGCTTAACTGTCACGTAAAGTGCAAATATACAGAACGTATAGAAACTATATTTCGTACTCTTTAAGGACGATTGAAGAAAAAAGATATATTGTTTAACAAGAGATTAACCAGACTGAATTCTTCTAACATTTAAGCATTTCTCTGGTGTAAAAAGACATCTAAACGAAGTACAAACATGAGATTACTCATTAGTAAATAATAGATTGGCTGGTTCTTTTTTGTTTTAAAAACATGTAAATGAACTAGATTACCTTATTTATGACTATACTAATTAATACAGTTGTATCAAATCCTGTTTGAGAAACTGATTAATTGAAATATGTTGTACATAGATAACATAGGTAAATACAAGTAGAGCGGAAAAAAATATGACTTAACTATAAACTATTATTAAACATATCTTTCTATACCAATCAAAACGGGAGCGTTTACGCTTTGAATACAGTCTGTATATATTGTAAATATGAGGGTTCGATAGCAATGTACGACGTAAATTTAAGTCCTTTTTAGTTTATACATAAGCGCATTACCAAACATATGATGATCGAAAAGTCGTTTTGAGTCGAACTATCAGTAATGTTGTTTATGGGTTAGAAAGAAAGTTTCAAGCTACATTACATAGTGAAAAAATGCAGATGTTACTGTTTAACATTTAAGGCGGTGGGCCCTACCAGTGACATCCACCGTGTTTTAGTAAGAAACAGAACAAAAAAACAATTTTTCCGTCTTTTTTTTCTTGGATAAGACGTTGCACATAATGCATCATCTGCTCTATCTCGTTCTTGGGAGAATTATTTATTGCATAGTATAATGTTTCTCATTGAAGCATGAAGCAGGCAAGACAATAAAATTTGTTACAACTAGAACAGAAAGTTTTTATTTTCTTTACTGTCTCATCTTTGGGTGTCATATAGTTAAAAATACTTTTTCAGTCAATTCATATTTTCGATTTCTAAACTATTGAATATGAAAATATCTGACCAATTAGAGAGTTAAAAGAAATTTTCAGAAATTTTTTGAATATTTTCTCAATAAGAAGTTTACGTTTAATTGAGCAATTGTTTTATTATCTAAGAATTTATCAGTTGGTTAATTTAAATTTATGTTTATCATCTAGGACAATATAACACATAAATTCATCACGAACATTAATCAATCATTTTAAAGTTCGTGAAGAAAAGAATAATATGACAATAAAAAAGAAAATTCACAAAAAAAAATCAAAGAAGTTTTTTTTCCTATTATTTTTAGAGACAGTTTTCAATAAAAATCGACTGTCAATCACAGAAAAAAAGGAAGAATATTGCACGAAAAAGAAAGATTCTAGAAGAAAAATATAAACATAAGACCAAAGAAGCTTACTAAATGGTCACTTATATAAATGAAATTATTTAGTCACATGCACTGGCATGAGTACGTTGTCGATGTATATGATGATGATGAGTACCATTTAATTGATGAGCACATGGTGGTGGTGATATTGAACTACGTCTCTTACATTGATCATAAGATTCTTGTCGAACATAAACCGATATTTTTGGATTGATTAGTGTATTGAGAAGAATGAGAAAAGCACGAGAAGGTAGTAAACCTTTTACAAATGGTATTAAATAATATAAACGTGGTACACAAACAAATTTACGATTTATCTAAAGAATACAAATAAAGATGACATTCATTAACAAACAGAAATACAAACCAAAATTCCATGCATAATCTTTTTTGCTGCATAATCAAGTGTAAGAGGTGGAAGAACTGGAGTAAAACGTGTTTTAGCCAGTTGATATAGATGTGTCATAAGATAATGAGATACAACTGCAGTTGTATATATACCATCATAACCACCTATGTTAATCATAAGATTTTATTTCGATAAAAAACGAATAATAATTTTACCTAAAGTTAACTCATGATCAATACTTTCCATAAGACCGACAAGACCAAATTTAGCGGTACAAATATCAGAAAAATTTCCTAAGCCAAAAACAGCTGTCGAACCAAGCATGGTTATTATATGTCCATGATTATGTCGCATCATTGATGGAAGAATTTGACGAATTAACTAAAATGAAAAGTTCTTTTTGTTTTTTTCATAATTTCATAAATATACAAATGTCATGTAATATAAAAGCATGATAAATTATATGTTTTATGTACTTATTTAGCAAATCTCCATATTATAGATGAAAACATTCACACATTAGTTTATCAAGTATATTTTCTTTCAGTTAACTCAATCTGTAAATAAGTTACGAATAGAACACATATCGATATGTAGTTTTCTCTATAGCATAAAAAACATGACAGTAAATAAAGGCAATCAGATTGCAAACGTTGTTAAGTCTGTGGGAGAGTATTTATATATCATTTAAGAGGTTATTACTTAAAATATTAAATTGATGTATATTGAAAGGATCTTTGTTCTAGAACTTAACGATTTTTATAAGTATTTTTCATGGTATATACACTTACGTACCCAATAAGCTGCAAATAGATTAACATTTAAACATCGTGAAAATTCTTCTTCACTCATATCCACAATAGATTTTGACGACAAAATTGCTGCTGTAAATAAGAAAACAAAAACAATATATATATTATTTTATATTCACATTAGTTTTCTCAATAAAACAAACCATTATTCACTAACATAGTGATATCACCAACATCTGTTTGAATTTTTTCTACAAGTTTATGTACTTCATCTTGATTTCCAATATCACATGTATATGCAAATACACGTTTTTCATGATGAAGTGTTGATGGAAATTCTTGGGATATTAATTCAGCTGTTTGTGCATTTCCAGTTTCATCAATATCACATAAAATCACCACTGCACCTCGTTTAGCAAATAAAAGAGCCATTTCTTGACCTTAATAAAATATCATAATTGATCAAACAAAATAAAATAAATCTATAAGAATTTTCTCTTTACCTAAACCTCTTCCTGAACCTGTAATAAGTACAATTTCATTTCGAATATTTTTTTCTGTGATTGAAAAAACATAATGACTAATTGCTTGTAGAATAACTTGAATTATATCAATAATAACACAAATACAATATTTTAGACTTTTAATGTAGCACCACATATTTTTTATTATTCACAAAAACATCTAAAAGTTGAATATCAAGATTATTAGTTCCATTTCCTTTCCACCCCCCGAAAAAAAAGAACAAAAAAAAGGTAAAGATTATTTATCACAGAAAAAAAAAAGAAAAAAATTCAATGTTTATTAGTTCATCACCGGTGTACGACATAGAGGACACGTACTATGTTCACTATTACATAACCAATCGAATAGACATTTTCGATGAAAATGATGAAGACACGGTAATGTGCATATATAAACATTATTAAAGTATTTTTCAAGACATATTGAACATTGATAGATTATACTACTGTTCATTTCATTTAAAGATGAGTTAAAAGAATTATTATTTTCATCTGTTTCACTTGTGTAACAATTATCTTGTTGAGTTAACGAAACAATATTTGTTATACGTCGATGTATAAAAGATTTTTTACATATGAAATTTTGTTCATTTAAATTATTAGATTGTTCTAATTCAATATCTGAGTAATATTCGCTAGCACCATGAGTTGTCTTTCGTCTTCGAATTGTAAAACGCCAAATAGGAAGACGTGTAAAATCAATTGTTGGACGAAAGGATATATTTACATTTGGATTTATTGTTAGTAATGAATGTTGATCTAGCCAAAGACTATCCTGAGAAAAATATTGCAATAAAGTAGTATTAGTATGTTCATTTGGTCCTTGATCTGAGAATAATATACATAAAACAAATTGCCATACTTTTGAGCATAATGCATGGGTTTGATCAATCATTATAACATCATTTGGTATCTAAAATAT